ATCAATATTCAATAACCCCTTTCAGCAGATTAACATGAAAACGTTCTTCTAAACCTTCTTCATTCAAACAGCACACTGTAGGGACAAGAGGAAACACTGATTTCTGACTGGAAGGGCCTTAAGTATTTATGTATCAATTAAGTATTAATTACTGTGGGCATCGACATATCCAACTTTAAAGGTCCAATGTGTAACATTTAGGAGGATCTATTGGAACAAATGATCCCTGTGTTTTAGTTTAGAAAGCTTCTGAAACTTAAGACACACAAATAGGAACTCTTCACCAAGTCCAAAAGGATTCCTGCCATCCAACACCTAAATAATGCGACCACACTGACAGCTCATTCAAACAAACACCAGCCATTACAGCTAATGTAATTGTGGTTTTCTGTGTGGCTGCTGAGCTGCCCCATCCACCTCCCTTTCATTACGTAGGTGGTGATGGATGTTGCGGCCATCGATTGACAGATAACCCAAGCTATTTCCAGACAGAGGAGATTAGGAGGATTAACGCAGTCGAGGGTGAGAAAACCACTCACCTTCCACGCCGGCTCTGCGAACTCTGCCGTCCACATAAAGCGCCTGCTGTTGTTGACAGAAAGTCATTCTGCATTCAAAGCCTTTAGAAGCCCTCAAAGCCACTGCTGAATTTCTCGGCAGCATTTAAACCAGACCCATCAACTACAAACCAAAGACCCAATGAAAGCTTTACTGTTTGTGATGCCACAATTCAGACCAATCAGATTCATTGCAAACATTTGCAGTTTGATAGCTGAGGTGAGCTGTATTCTCTGGTAGTATTTTTCCTGTCTCAGTGGGAGTGAACAGTATTTCCTAACAGGGGACTTTGCTGCCCTGTTGTGTTTCCTGTAAACACAAGCTGCTTCTATCTGAGTTGTGTCCTATTCTTGAATATAGTGGATAGTGTATGGAGCATCGCAGCATGCCATCCTTCTCTGCTGCTTGCATCTGGGAACTATTTTCAATGTTATGCGTGGTGTTGTGCCAAGATTTCCCTCCCAGGCAGATTTCTGTTCCCCTTTGCATTCATGTACAAGAAAAATACATTTCTGTGTAACAGCTTTAGTAGTTTTGGCAAGACCACTGTATCTGTACAATATAGCACCTCTTTTATCTTTGTAAGACAATCATTTAAAAGATAAAAGCAGTCCAATTAGTTAATCCATGTATGACACCAAGATACATTGTTTACTTAAAAGTGTGTAACAGTTTGGAGGATCAATTGTCAGAAATGGAATATAATATTCATAGTTATGTTTTCATTAGTGTATAATCACCTGAAAATAAGAATCACTGTGTTTTTGTTACCTTAGAATCCGTTGTTTTTTATAGCCATCATCTTACAGAGGGAGTTGGTCCACCATGTTGAACTACCTTTTTTCCACCAGTTATTAAAGTTTTGTATTTTTTATTAATTTTTTATTTTTACTTTAATTTTGTTTCAGTTAGTGTTCAGAGTGGGTTTGCTGATTTCACTTTACTTTTTATTGTTTAAAAATGTTTTTTATTAGTTTCATTAGTTCATTTATTATAATATGAGGGTCAGTGGCAAAATTCACAATTGGTATTAAAATACAAACACAGTGAGTCAGTCATTGAGTAGTAGTAGATATTCATATGCAACAATGTGTCCTCATGCTTGTTGTGTTGGCCAAACTGCCAAAGACAAAAGGCTTTTCCTGTATATTTTTATTTTATTTTAGTTAGTTTTGTAAGTGAAATATTGATACAGTTTGTATTAGCAAGTTAGTCTAGTTTTTATTTTTAATTTCAGTTAACTAAAATGTTCTTTTACACCTAGTTTCCGTTTAGTTTTAGTTAACTATAATAACATTGGTTTCTACAGTAGCCCAGAGCAACAAATTTAAACACTGGCTGTAGATAGGGTTAGGTTTACGAGTTTCGCAGCCACCACTTTCTCCTACACACTTAGGACAGGCGGGTGGGCAAGGACACTGCAATCAGCAAATACAGCTAGAGCTACTAAATTCCTCCCACTGGAAAGAAACCATCTATCTAAATATATGTGGTGTAAATTTCCGGTCATGTCAAGTTTTGGGAGTTTCAAAAATGTTTTTCAAAATGTGTTTTGGGGGGCTTTTTGCCTTTAATCAAAAGGGTGAGAGAGAGAGAGAGAGAGAGAGAGAGAGAGAGAGAGAGAGAGAGAGAGAGAGAGAGAGAGAGAGAGAGGGAGAGAGGATGACACACACAAAAAGCCACAGATCGGACATGGCTGCTGCAGAAAGGACTCATCCTTGGTACATGGGGGGCGACAACTCTACCTAAAACTCTAAAACTTATTTTAAAACCTCAACATTCATATTTAAAATGAAAACTCAAGAGATCTGAGTTTACTGTCGCTCAGCTCATATTCTGTTTTGAATCACTGACAGAAAACTGATTTTGAAATAAATTTCAGCAACACAGTTTTGAACATGTGAATCTTTAAGCTCCCACCAGTGAAAAATCAGTGTGTCCTCTTGTCTACAGTGTGCTGTTTGAATGCTGTCTGTGCAGAGTTTGACTCTAGAAGGATGTTTTCACATTCATCTGCTGAAAGTGGAAAGTTTCTCTGTGCTCATTGAACATCTGATTTTACAAATAGTTAGGAAGTCCAGTCCTGGTCCAGTATCAACTTGTAAAGTGTGGTGTAGAAACTTGAAGCCACCAGTGCACATCCACTGAGAATGGACTTTACAGTGAAGTAGGAGACATCTTGTGTCCAGCAGGAACACTTTAGAAATGAACAACATTTGCATATTCAGAGATTCTGGAATTCATAATGAGGTAGAAGGAGGAGATTACTTTTTAAAGATATTAATGTTGAAATTATACTTTTTTGTGTTAATACATGTTTGGAGAGCAGGGTATACTTTGTTTGTTTAGTAAGTAAATGTTTCAGTGCCATAAATGATTGAATTTCAACATTAAGTGAATGCATTTTACATTGCTATATCATCTTACCATAACATCTGCAGCCACTAAAATGCTTCAGTTTCAATTCAACTACACTGTAAAACTGGATTAGTTAATTCAACTCAAACCGTTTGAGGAAACAGATTGCCTTAAACTATTTAAACGTATTTACCTCCAACAATTTAGCATGAAAAATATATTTGATTTGAGTACAAGTAACTCAAGTATTTATTATTGAGGTAACGTGGCTTAATTAAGTTAATTATACCAATTTCATTCAGTTAATTGAAGTTAAAACTAGTAAGTGTATTACACTCATATGCAGCCTTTCTCCAAACTTATTTAAAATTTGTTATTTATCTGAATAAAGTAAAACTGCCTGTAATGCATCTTATTTATACAGATGGTACCACTTAAACTGAATTTATTTTCTACTAAAGCAAATGATCAAGTTAGCAAAATGGTAGCCAATTAATTTTTGGGGCTTTGGGGGGTAAATTTTGTTTTTATAAAAGGTCAACTTAAATTCACTGAATGTAATTACATAAACAACATGGTAGCAAAGCACAAATTGTATAATTACACTACACTGTAAAGCCCAATTTGAATGCATGTTTGTTGCTTAAAAACAGAAGGAGTTCAGGAGGAAGACCATGAATGCAGCATGAGACTCTTTGGTGGTGGTTGTTGTTGTTGTTGTTGTTGTTGTTGTTGTTTTGTTTCTACTGTATAGTGACAGGTGAAGAGGCAGACAGGAAACGGGGTGAGTGAGGGCTTTGACATGCAACAAAGGTCGCCGGCTGGAGTCTTAACTCTTTGGGTGTTATTGACGTTGCTGCGGCTGACGTCACCCGACGCCGCGCTCCAAAGCTTATGAAGTGTGCACACATACACACATACACACCATCAGACCAACCAGAATCCCTGCGGATTTCAAAACAAGAGCATATTTAAGATTATTGCACGGAATAAACATTGTATCAAGTGTTGTGCGATATTCAGTGCAATTGTTCTATAAAATATGAAGTGAAATGACTTGTGATACATAGTGCACAATGTCCTTCCTCCAACACATAGACCTTGTCCAGCCGCACAAGATGGAAGATGCCTATATAGACACTTAACAAGGGGTTGAACAGTAAGCGTAAACTGAAGCGTAAGTTTACTAAACATAATGTGCATTCAGTCCAAGCAAAGTGTGTCATTAAGTTGCTAGAGCAGTTGAAATGAATCTTGTGTACAGTAACATGGCAAACACACTGTAAATACTGATATCCATTGTTTGGACAAAGCAGCAGATTCAGCCCAGGCCAGCCTGACCTTGATTTGTTCCCCATGTAGGTCATTTATCGTTTTTTTAGGGTGTTTTTTGTTTTTTTTTTTTACATGAAGTGTGTTTTGAAGTTAGTCACATAGAGATCTGTAGATACCATACCAGATGACATAAACAGATGTATATGTGTATCTTGCAAGGATGTACAAATACAAGAAAAAGCCAGAAACCAAATTTTCACTTGCAGTCTTATATTTTTGTCCTTAAAGGATCATATATTTGCATTTTGTTGCCCATTGGAAGGACCAGTGTGTGGGATTTAGTGGCATCTAGCAGTGAAGTTGCAGATTACAACCAACTGAACACAGCTCTGTATTTGACAACCTGGGGATGAGAACAGGAGCTTGAGGTCACTTAGAAACAGTGTTGCTATTACACAATCTGTCCACCAGAGAGCACTGACAAGTCTTCTGTTAGCCACATTAGCAGTCTGGCTGTTGAGGTGTAAACATTACCTGCTCAAAATCAGCATGTTAACAATTTAACAGTGAGTTAAAGTTAGGGGCTCTTGTGCCCCAACTACAGCTTCCAGAATGACCAAAGGTATCACTGTTGTAACATAGCACCTCTCTTAATACAGTTTTAAAAACTGGAAATTACAGTAGGTAAGATTTAATTTAGATCATTTTAGCTAGGCGGACTTACGCTGGGAACTGTCACGTTCCCTATAAAACACCGCAATGCCTTTATTTTGAAACTTCTCAGCGGAAACGCTTGCGAGCTCCGCTAGCTTGTTAGCTAGCCTGCGCACCGAGTCTCCTTGCTGCCGCCGACAAAACGGTTTCGTGCGGGGCTTTCTCCTCCATCACTTCCTCCTTTTGAGCAATGTGTTGTCAGGCAGGGAGGTGTGAGGAGCCAGGCTCTTCACTCCTTCACGCTACTCAGGAGCCATGGCGGAGCGGACACTGAGGAGGGAACCAGCGGCCGGAGCACAGCGTCTCCTCAGCAGCGGCTTACACGAGAGGAGGACGGGTCCACGTTACCTGCAGCACGGTCACAACTACTAGCGGAATACAATGGTGACGCCTCCTAAAGTTTTACACACATCTTTAGCTCCTGTCACAGACGGCCGGTTCAACTTTTCAATACCTGGCATTGTCCTTAATGTCGACGGGATCGTAGCGACGTAGAGTTTGTTCTGCTTTTCTTTTCTTCCAGCTCGTCTGTCCTGTAAAGCCATCTGCCCTCCGGCGTAAATCTGGCGCACTGTCCCGCAGTGGCTCACAGAGCGCCTCTTTAGTATTTCAGAGCCGAGTCAGCGGAGGTTAACATGGGGGCAAAGCAGAGCAGCCCCACTGCTAATCCAGCTGCTAACGGACGGACCAGAGCCTACTCCGGCTCGGACCTGCCCTCCAGCACGTCCAGCAGCAACGGCAGCAGCGTTAGCAGGACTGCCGCTGGGGGAGCGAGGTACCACGCGTACGGTGCGTCCGGAGCCGCCGGAGCCGCGTCCAGCACCAGCCAGCACCACGGAGCCAGGGCGAGGTCTGTGGGGGGCTCCGGAGGCTCCGGGACCAGACCTCAGTCCGGCATCAACATTCCGAACAGCAGCGGAGCCTACAGCTCCCAGGAGTCCGGCGGCAGCAGCCCGGAGGAGGCGGCGGACAGGCAGCGCTCGGGCGGAGGACACGATGGTCCCCGGCTGTTGATAGGATCACTACCAGCACACCTCTCGCCTCATCTGTTCGGAGGTAGGAGCAGAACTGTAGTGACACTGACACCTGATTGTTTACAGCAGGCGGGTGGGTCAGGGTGGGGGTCAGGGTGGGTGCCTGTGTTCTGTTAGTGTGCACAGGTCCAATCAAATAGTGTTCATCTCGCAAGAGATCTGCACATAAACACTTCATCCAGGCATTATATATAGTTAATACATTATATAAGCAGAGCGAGCAAGAAGAAACTCTGGAGTGTTACTCAGATTGATGTAATCAGGAGATGGTGTCATGTGACAGCAGAAAAAAAAAATCCCAAAACACTTGTTTGGTCTTTCAAAATCTGAAAAGAGAAGTGGAGAAATAAAAACAGCAGCAAAGCATGGCTGTAGGTTGGACCTCACCCCACCTTTAGAACATTTTGATTATACACCAAAACTAAGCCGTATAACAGTTTTTAACTTATTTTGTATTCAGAGCTTCAACAGTTTGTGGATTAGCTGTCAACTCTTAAATTAATGGCCAGTTATTTTAATGATTGATTGTTTGGAGTGATTTTTACAAAAAAGAAAAAATGGCCAAATTCTCTGATTTCAACACGTTTGAAGATGTCCACTTGGGCTTTGGGAAACACTGATCCACATTTTCACCATTTTTTGGACCAAACAACCAATGGATTTAAATGATAATGAAAACAATCATCAGTTGTAGCTCTAGTTGTATTTATTATACATTTTCTGGCAGCTTTATTTCCCAAAGTCTGTTTTCAAAGCTGTATCTGCATTGGCCAGGAAGTAAGTTCTGGAGTGGAAATACAGTAGTCTAACTTTATGTATTATCCTAAAATATTCCACTTTAGATATAGTGAGTCTAAAAACAGTGGGTGTGTTGGTTTTATAAAGTTCTAATCCCCCAGGTTCTCAACATTAATACTGAGCTTAGTGTTCTCAAAGAGGGCTACTGCTCTCAAGCCAAGTTGTAGGGAGAGATAATGCTGAAACTGTTAGTTGATTCATTGATTAGGCAATTGGCAGAAATAGTTTGACAACAATTTGGTAGTCTATTGATTTTGTCAATCATCATTTTTTTTTGTCCTTTTATGGTGAGGGCCAGGTTGCTGCTTTTGTCTTTTTGTCACTGTTTACATTATGATGTCCTATTTATTCTCCTGTACGGCACTTTGGTCAACTTTGGTTGTTTTTAAAGTGCTTAACAAATAAAGTTGGATTGGATTTTACGCTATATATTAAATACTTGGGACTGTTGGTTGGACAAAACAAGCAACCTGAAGAGATTACTGTGGACTCTGAGAACTTGTGTTGGAAAAAAACAAAACGTCTCCATGCACAAAGTTGGGCTGCGTATTGGCAAGAATCTGGCAACACAATACAAATTATGATCCAGGGGTTAGGATTAGATATATTGCCATACTGTAAGCAAGGAAATATATTGCAATTTAAAAAAAAAAAAAAAAAAGGATAAACCGTCAGTGTAACTAAAACACATAAATCAAGGGTTTTTGGGAATCGATACAGTATTACGAAACAGAATATTATAATAATGATATCACTACTAAGTGTATTGATATTTTCTTACAGTATGTATTGGAGATTTATGTATCACGTTACAGAGGTTGCAATTCAATATATTGCGATGTACTGAGATACTATAAGCAAAGAAATATATTGTGATAAAATATATATTTCGGAAAACCGTCAGTATGAAGAACACGGCAAACACAAAAATCGAGATATATCATGAAACAAAATATTGCGATACTCGATAAGTGTATTGATGTTTTCCTTCACCCCTAGCACTAAATACAATTCAGCCATGGGTTTTAAAAGGTTTGAGTTATTTAAAGTAGGAATATGCAATAAAAAAAATAAGTTAACAAGCCTATAAATCTGACAAACCATTGTATGCCCCCTCTTCAACTTGATCCTCTGAAAGCACTGAGGTTCAAGAACCAGACCCACAAGGAAGCAGAGCTGTGTTGATATAACGCACACAGACACTGATGGAGAAGCTGGCCAGCGAGTGAGTGGCCCCTGCTGGTTTTAATGGCATTCATGTGTGAGGACGATGACTCATGTGCGAGCTGAGCCAAACATTGTTAAGATAAACAGCGTGAGCCTCCTTGTGAATGTCTCTTTGATTTCATTGATCAACCGTGACAGCTGCAGGGACTGAAGTCATCTGATCGCCGAACTTAGTTCTGGTCTTAAAAGTGATCAAGTGACCCAATCAGCTGCTCTGGTGTCGTTACCAACGCTGCAACAGCATCCTCATTATCATTACCCAATCAGATGGCAAGGTTGTTGTTAGGTGTTAGGTTCCAATCAATACTGCCAGTGACGAGGTGCAACAGTATGTTCGGCATTTTGCCTGAGACCTGAGGTTCAGTTTTGAAGTGCTGCCTGTTTGGTTGTTCTGTTTCTCCATAGTTTTTCGTTGTGGACAACGTTTGCTCCCAGAGGAATACAAATACTCTCTCAGTTCTGAGAGGCATTTGAGGAAGACAATAGGCTTGTTTGAGATGATTTTTTGCCTCACTTGGAAATTGGAAGAGAGCAGGTGGTTGCAGCCGGGAGAAGTAACAAAAAGCTGCAGTCACATTGGACAGTTTCCAGCTGAATAAAGAATGTACAGGACGTGGTTTTAACATTTATCACATCCCGAGTGAATAAAATGTTATTTATGATTCCAATCTCTTCAGCTTTTACTCCACCACTAATAATTATTGTTAAGTGACGTTCTGTGTAATGAAGTAATAAAAAGCCTCATATTTAAAATAATTCTGACAGCATTTATTGTTCAGCCTTCATATTAAAAAAAATGATTTTAAATACAAATTTCATATAAACTCCTTCACATCCTGTAATAGAGAAATTCAACAGTCAGTAGTTATATGGCATAAACACAGAGAGGAAAAACAGGAATACAAGGCACATATTTCCATTATTATTATAGTGTCAGCCATATTAAAACAGTCAGACCTTAACACAGAGTGTCTGCACGGTCTTAGAAAGTCTACACAGAGCTTAAAATGTCTTAAATATGATTTTGACAACTTGAAAATGGATTGGATTAATGAAGTCAATTACAAAACAAAACTGAAATGGGACCAATGCCAAATTTCCTTCATAATCTTTGTACCTTTTTGCCAGTATGGATGTGAAATAGGTCTTAAATTGCATTCATGCATTGCATGGTCTTTAAAAAGTCCTATATTTAAACCTGTAGAGACCCTGCTAACATCAGTGTTCTCATGTCCTACCTGATACCTAATGTGTTTTGTTTCATAACACAAGAATGAAAGAGCATTAAGGTTCTGTTATTGTATCTGAAATATGTGGAAATTAATTTATTCAACTTCTGTGGCCTCACATAAGATAGCTAACAGGTATTCACTGTGCGGTGCCAACTTTTCTACCCTCTCACTTTCTGAGCTGTAGTTGGAAGACCACCTGACAAGATTTTGGACTTTTTTAAGATTTTGGATACTGGAAATGTCCACAATTAAGGAAAGCTGTGCAATATGTCCAAAATATCATATCCCAATATTATTTCATATCCAGATAATGATACGTATCACGATATAGCACATTTTCTGTAAATTCAGTGAATAAAGTTTAATTCAGTTCAATTCAATTCAATTTTATTTGTATAGCGCCAATTCATAACAGAAGTTATCTCAGGACACTTTTCAAATAGAGCAGGTCTAGACTGAACTCCTTATAACATTATTTACAGAGACCCAACTGTACCACCATGAGCAAGCACTTGGCAATGGGGACAAGGAAAAACTGGGCTCTAGGTGGGTGGGTGGTCGTCTGCCTCAACCAATAGTGGAGAGGGAGAGAGAGAGAGAGAGAGACACGAAATGACGTTTTCTTTTGTCACATGATGCATATCGTTCTATAGCCCCAACCTGCAGTTAAGCTATCGTGACATTGCTCCGTGTCCATCCTGGTAGTATCTAAATGAGAGACCTGTCTATATCGACTCAGTCCCTAGTGATCTTTCCATGTGAGATGTTCAGCAGCAAGTTATTCATGTGTGAGTGTTGATGCAAGATAAAGTCATTGTATTTCCTAAGACAAACACACATGAATGCACGGTACATACATATGTGGCAGATTGTGTACATAGGTTCTCAATGTGAGTGTGAGTCAGCAGATAACCTAATAATTAACTCAACTTGTCAGGTTTCCTTCATCTATAATGGTGCCTGGATGAATCAATAGTACACACACACACACACACGTATCTGTGTCTGCAGGCTGTGTTAGCAGGTGGTGTGTGTTCTCTCTGTTAATGGTGTTAATGATCTTAATTTAAAGAGTCCTCCAAATTTACACAGCAACAGTGTGATGAAATTAAAGCAGAGCAGCTGGGTCACATTCAACCCAACAACTCACTGAACGGTCAGTCGGTTCACTGAAGTGTGCTGAACGCTGACAGGGCATGAATCCCTGGGAAAACCTACCGATTAAGGTTAACCTGCACCAAATCGATTCCACACAACAACCTGATGAATGGCACAACCAGGCGTGTGTGTGTGTGTGTGGGTGTGTGTGGGTGTGGGTGGGTGTGTGTGGGTGTGTGTGTGTGGGTGGGTGTGTGTCGGTTTGTGTCTAACTAGTGGTATCTAGCCATAAAGGTTTTTTGTTGTGCAGGTTTTGAGCTATCTGTCTGAAATGTCTCCCAGGTACAATGTAGGTGAATAGAATTGAATTTGTGTTGCTCACAGCACTGAAGAATGACATTCAAAACAACAGCAACAAAAAACAGCAACATTCTGTGAATTAACAGAAACAGTGAAATGAACAGTTAATATTTAGCTATTAAGCTATTTTTGACGGTGAAAATAAAATACTGCATGCAGACTCATCAGGCATCAGGGCAGAAGTTAAACAGTCAGAAGACATTTTAAGTGGAGACATTCCGTTTTGTTTCCCGTTTAAGCATAAAATAGTAAACAACGTATGTATAACAGCGACACAGACGCGCTGTTATAAAGCTGTGCCCAGTGG